TAGACGGTCCTGCACCGAAGATAAAGGATTGTGGCCTATGCCAGCAGCAGCGTCAAACGAAGGCTACATTGGAGGTCTGCTCAATCGAGCGATAAACGCGCTTCCTTTCGAACTACATATCCCCGGCTATCAGTTTTGCGGTCCGGGTACTCGGCTGAAAAAGCGATTAGCCAGAGGTGAAACGGGCATAAATCCACTGGACGCGGCGTGCCGTGAACACGACATTGCGTATTCTCAGAGCAACGATCTCACCGACAGACACGCGGCGGACAAGGTACTCGCCGATAAAGCCTTAGGACGCGTCATCGCGAGAGATTCGGCTCTGAGCGAGAAAGCTGCAGCTGCAGCCGTTTGGGCAGCGATGAAAGCCAAGACCAAGATCGGCATGGGTATGAAGGCGAAGAAAAAAACCGGCAAAAAAAGAAACGAATACTTCCAACGGCGAAACGAGGTGGTGTGTTACCGATTTTGCCAATTTTGGGCGCTCTCGGGTCCTTAATCGGCGGAGCGGCCAGCGTGGCGAAAGCGATAAACGACAGGAAAGTCGCGCAATGTCCACTCGAGGAACTGCAACGTCGCGCGATGGAAACGCGCGGACAGGGACTGTATCTCGCTCCGTACAAATACGGACGAGGACTGTATCTCGCTCCGTACAAAGGCGGACGAGGCGTAACAGCGAAAAAAGGAAAACAGAAAAAAAACGCCAAAGAGACGATAAAAATACCTACGGGTGTAACCACCAACGTACAATTGGACCAGCTGGCGAAGCGTATGCGCGTACCGTACTTTAGAGGTGTTTTCATGCGTGACGCATTACCGATTAGCGGCGCGCGTCGAAATGAAAATGGTATCGTAAATCTGGACGACACGACGGGCCCCGGTACTCATTGGGTAGCGTACGCAAAGAGAAACAATCGCGTTGTGTACTTTGACAGTTTTGGTAATCTTCGCCCAAGGAACTGATACGATATTTCGGAGACGATGCTACGATAGAGTACAATCGAACGTCCTATCAGACGTACGATCAGAGCGTCTGCGGACAGCTGTGCTTGTGGTTTCTTCTCCAAAACGGTCGACGCGCGTGAATTTATAAAGTCCGACAAAATATCGCGGCGTCTCAGTATTCGTCGAACGCTTTTTCCATCATGTCGCTGACGCTTACGCTGAGCGGGAAGAGCAGCGTTCTCGCGACAAATTACTCTCCAGCCATAGATTTGAGCGACGATGACTACGAGCTTGATCTAACAATTTTGGAGACTTATCACACGATACCGAATGTAAACGCTTCGAACAATACATTTTATTTTGGCAAAGACGATGCAGAAATTACGATTCCCAAGGGGTCGTATGAACTGCATGCCATAAATGAATTTTTGAAACGTGAGATTTTACGGAAACGTCCGCGACGCGACGCGCCCGAGGGTAACGCTGGTGACACCGCGCGCGGCGATGACGAGATTGGAGAATACCCGATAGTGCTCCGCGCAAATTACAACACGATGAGGTGTGAGATTAAATGCGCCTACAGAATAAACTTTAACAAGCCTCATAACATTGGATCGCTGCTGGGTTTCTCGAGGCGCAACCGCGAAGGTGGCACGAATCGGACGTGTCGATCAACATAATGAACGTAAACATTATCCGTGTAGAGTGCAACGTGACCGCGGGCGCATACAGCAACGACAAAAGTGTGCACACGATACACGAATTTTCACCGAGCGTGCCGCCAGGATATAAGATATCGGAAAGGCCGATGCAGATCATTTACCTGCCAGTCATCGTACGGAGCATTACGGAGCTAACGATACGTTGTTGACCAGAACGGACGATTGCTCGATTTCAGAGGAGAAGAGATCACCGTCAGATTGCACGTACGACGGCGACAGCGATAACGCGAGCGAGACACTTGAGATGCTCGTGTTGAACGAAGCGAAGCATACGCAGAGAGATAACGCATCTTGTTTACTAAAGAAACATCGATCGACAATATTCGCTCATCCGGCTGCGTCAAGAAGAGGAAGAAACTTAACGCGTCGAACGTTAAATTTTTACAAGCTTTAGGATTCGCGGTGCGCAACTTGTGAAATGACTGATATCCTAAACATCGAAGACGAGCCAATCTTCGACGATCGCATCGTCAAGATTGAGACTCATGCGTACAACCCGTTCGCCAATACGACGTTCGGGTACAGCGATGAGATAAGAATACCTATACAGCAACAGGATCTGTACACATTGCCGTACGAAAGCTTTCTATATATCGAGGGAAACTAACGAAGAACAGAGTTGTCGAGGGATCTGATGTGATGCTGGGAAATAATTTTGTCGCGTTCCTGTTCGATGAGATTCGATACGAGCTTGATGGTGTGGAGATTGATCGTAACAGAAACGTGGGCGTAACCAACACGCTCAAAACATTACGTAACGACATCATCCGACAGAAGCGTGATTCTGAGAAAATGCCGGTTGGGATGCGCATACCAGCGCGGATGGATATTTTAAACTTTTTGCGTACCTCTCTACGCACTGTTGGAGTTTTGCGAGGA